ATTTGTGATGTTACTCTGAGTGTATATCCTCACCGGACGAGCTTGAAAAATATGCCCAGCCACGGTGGGATTCGAACCTACGACGTTTGGAATACTAGCCCAATGCTCTTCCAACTGAGTACACAACACCAACACAGAAAAAATCATATTACTAGAATACATTGGTATCGAAAGAACTAGATTCTGTTCCGAAATATCACTTACTCGAACCGTCCTGACCGCGTAGCTCAGTTGGAAGAGCATTGGGCTAGTATTCCAAAGATCGTAGGTTCGAATCCCATCGTGGCCGGGCGCATATTTTTCAAGCTCGTTCGGTGTGGATATACACTCACAGTAACATCACAAATATCTGAATTAGTATTGTTAACTTTCATAAACATCCATGTTTCTCAATTAGTATTGTTAACTTTCATAAACATCCCTCTAACACAACTTTATGATTTTTAATGCGGTTTACAGTGTGTCCCAAAAAAAAGGCTACCTTTTGAAGTCAAGCGCTACTGCCGCATGTTCGAATTTAAATGCTTTAAACTCCCTAATGAGCCCTGGAATGCGTAAAACGTTATACAGGGTGTCCCAAAAAAAGCGAAAACTATTGAAATCACCAATAACAATTCAATTGTTAGAATTTGAATGCCTTAGCGCTCTGTTGGTTCTCACGAGTGCATAAATGATTGACATAAGTAAATTTTATGCATAAAGAAACTGTTTAAGAAGCTGTTTTTTATTCCCAGGAGCAGAAAATCGCGCACTTTACCAGGAGATACTCCTAACTAAATTCTAATACATGCACCTTGTCAATATTTTACGCATCATTACGTCCAGCTGCAAAGTAGGGCATTCAAATTTAACAACAAGTGATTTCAATAGTTTTCGTTTTTTTGGGGACACCCTGTACATGTATATACATGCATTCCATTCTGTGTTATTTTAGCGGAACAAATTTCAATTAATTTGCAATGCATGCATAAAAGTGCTCTGCTATAACGTTTTACGCATTCCAGGGCTCATTAGGGAGTTAAAGCATTCAAATTCGAACATGCGGCACTAGCGCTTGACTTCAAAGGGTAGCCTTTTTTGGGACACACTATACAAGTGTGCACATGTGACCTAAATACCGTGTCGTGATTTATTAATTATTCATGAATTTTACAATTAAAATATAGCCAGCTGTATATGTAACCCACTCGCAGGCTAATAAGTACACATCCTCTATAACAGTCATACACGAAGTACTTGAACTTGTAAGTTTATTCGAATGGCGCGCAAAACAAGATAATATGAAGTAAATTTAAGGTGCACGAGTTATTCTATAACCATTAATACTGTAAAAAAATGCGATGGTTAAAATAACAAGTATACTCAGATGAACTTTAATTCAGTTTTCTTTGTTCGAAGCTATAAACTATAACCACTAATATTTCATTTATTTATAAGTTAAATTTTACTTAATATCAGAGCTGCCGTCCACTCGTCCACAAGCATGAAAAACGCATGAGGAAATCTTTGAAAGAAGCTGCTTCAGCTACCAGGCGGAGATTATCTTTGCCAACATTTTTTGAAAAAAATTCTAATGTAAGTGCAACAGAAAAGCGGAACAACAGCCTTTGTTATCGGAAAAAGAAAGTAACATTATAGCTGGGGATGATGCGAATGATCTAACAGTTCATAGTCAAAGCCCACAGGCTACTTCAATAGAAACTCAAACAAATTGTTGGTATATAAAGGCAAAAAACTAGACATTAACTGGCTGGTGCCATCTGAGGACTGCTTAGAGAGTTGGTAAAAGAGATCAAAGACCAGTGGCGCCGCCAGCTCGATAATTGGGGGGGGGGGGGGGGGCGAATATTCATATCTTCGTGTTCTGCATTATAAACTTCTTTTGAAATCCATTGTTTTTATGGTCTGTAAATACAAATATATGAATATTCGCCCCCCCCCCAATTATCGCGCTGGCGGCGCCACTGTCAAAGACAATCGGCAAAGAAAAGTGACGAAATGTTTATTGTGCAGCAAGTATGAGATGGAAGTGTTCTAGTTTGCCAACATTGGAAGAATACCTCTTGTACGTGGAGTTCGTGTTGATGGGAAGGACAGATTAAGTAATGTAGTAGACCATTTATTTTCACCCGCACACAACGAGTCTCCGCGTTTAAAGCAACTAGATGAATCATGGAATAACTCGTCTGATAGTCATCCATGGATAGAAGTGATGAAAAATTGCAAAGCTGAAACAATGGAAATTCTCTTACGCCTGGCAGTTAATTGATGTGTACAATGATTGTAGAACCGAAACACTCAGTGCTAGAAACTGGTCATCAAGGGCTTTCATGGCAGTTGAAAACAGCAAAACGAAGTTTCAAAACGAAGGATGGGATGCAGAGTTTGTTTCCTTTGACCAGCCTGGCTCGTAGTATTACTACAGAGATCCTGTAACTTATGCAGAAATGAGAGGTATAATTGGTCAGCATGAAATGGAGAAAACAGCAAAACTATTGAAAGATTGTCTTTGTTATTCTGTACAAATTGACGGCATAATAGCAAGGTATGCACCTCCATGAGGTAAGTGTCAATACTCTTTCTCTTGGGATCTCATCTAGTGATTTTGGGGGAGCATCTGGGCTGCTCGATGCTTTTGTGTCTTGTTTAGGTGGTGTTAAGATTGAGACAACAAAGCTGGTAGGTGCAGGTAACAACTGATGGGGAGAATGCCAACACGGGAAGGAATGGTGGTTTGTGCAAACTGTTAAGAGAACATACTGGAAGAGATATCCTGACTGCATGGTGTGTTTGCCATCGCTCAGATTTAGCTTTAGAGTCTGTACAATCTCAGGTTCCAGAGCTCTGAATCTGAGCCATCAATACTGGACTATTGGTAGCCCATTTTCGTAGATTAAAATTGCCAGCTGCGAGACAAGATTTCATCTGCCGATACATTGTATATGCATCATCCGTGGATTCTCCTCCTCCTGACCAATCATCAACGTAAAGCTCTGAAAGAATCCCTTCTGCAAAGCCAGGGTCATCATAATAGTAATTCGTAATGTGGTGGCGTAATGTTGCATTCAAGAGAAATGGAGAGCATTTCATGCCAAAAAATAACCCTACAAAAGCGGTAAACTTCTACATACGGATTGTCCTTGTTTATGTCATCGACCCACAAGAACCGTATCATGTCCTTTTGTTCCTCATCAATATCAATATTGAGAAAAGCTTTCTCAATATCTGCAACCATTCCAGTTCTCCATCCTCGAAAACCCAAAGGAACCTTTAGAATATCTGTAGCCAGGGAAAGTCCAGTGTGAACGCAATCATTCAGATATGGGCACTTTAGCTTAACTTTCGCACTGGCATCGTAAACAACCCGCACCTTTGTGGTGGTTGCATCTTTTCGTACCACTGTTTAGTGTGGGAGATAGTGTGTAGTGCCTGGTCACCGAATAAAGACATACAGAAGTGTATCTTCTTATTAAAAGTGCGTAAGGGATTTTTTCAGTCCGCCATGTTCTTAGCAAGTGCCCTAAAGAGAGGCAGTCACCCCCCTGAAAACATATTGAAAATTTAATATTCCAGGGGGGTGAATGCCTCTCTTTAGGGCACTTGCTAAGAACATGGCCGCCAGCTATTTCGGTAAAAAAGCGCCTTACGGTTTTGTAATGGAAGTTACACTTCTGTATGTCTTTATTCTGTGGCCTGGTACTGAGTCTTGATTTTGATCTTCAACCTTTTCAACAATTCCTCGACTTAATTGCTCTTTAAATATCTGGTTGTATTCCTCAAATAGACTAGGTTCTTGCCTTAAACGTTTCACTTGCGAGTCTAGTCGTGCTAGACTTGAATCATAATTGTCCGGTAAAATATCATGTTTTTCTTTCAGGGGTAATTTAACGTGATATCTACCCTTCTCAAAAGATACATTTCTTTCAAATGACTCATGCACCGTCTCTTGTCTGTTATATAAATTGACTTTAAATCCCAGTATCCCACAGACGATGTAATAACTCTTCAGGTTGTTTTTCATTCTCCACACTTGGCGATTCGGCTGCTACTCTCAATACATGAGTTGAAACAAAGTTCACAGAAGACAGAGTAGTTTTCTTTCTTGATGGCATTGGGCCTGACAAAACCCATCCCAGGATTGTTTCGCTTGCAATTGGACCATTGGCATTCTCCTCTCGTCTTATCTTGCCAGTGAAAATTTTACCGATTTGATCCGCTCCGATTAACAAATCTATCTCTTCTACACCGTCCCCTTCATTATTATCGGCCAAGTTTAAGTCACTCAAATGTTTGTGCTCTACTTGGGCTCGGTCAATTTCTTGATTTCCTAGTGGTGCACAAATCACTGGCACATCAAATGCTTCTACTTGTGAGTTGTGTTCTAGTTCTACCAGTAATATCCCCAACTGCTAAGTTCACTGTCTCACAAGAAGCAGTTAGTTCAGTTTCGCATTCCCCGAATGTTTTTATTCGTAAAGACTCTGTATTTCCTGTAGGCAATTGCAACTTATTTCGCACTCGTTGGGTTAAATAACTTCTCTGGCTGCCCGAATAAAAAATAACTCTTACCTCAGTCCTTAACTTCTTGTTTCCAACGCCAACTTTCGCCTTGGCTGTTTGTTATAAGACGGAATCTTGTAAACATACGTGATAATTTCTGGTCTCTTTCGTGTGTTTCCTGTGTCTTTCGTGTCCATTGATTGTGTTGTTTGTTCTTTAGCTAGACTATCTTGTACATTTCCTAATTGCTGTCTGGAATTTAATTCTTGTTTCGTTGCTAAGGACTGTCTCGAATTTGTTGCTAAGGACTGTCACGAATTATTACACAGACTAACATGATGCTTTCCCGAGCAATATTTGCACATATGCCTTGATGTCATCCGTCGCACTTGCCTTTACTTCGAGGGGTATCAAATGCTGTAATTGGTCGCCGTAATGTGATCCGTTTACCGCTTTCACCGTTAACCATAACTTTAGCTGACCGCACTGTGCTATCGCTACTGGGAAGCAACATTTCCACTTTAGCCAATTTCCAAAACGTGCGTCATGTGTTGTCATTCCGTAAAATTACCATATCTCCAACTGCTATTTGCACATTACTGTTTGGTCGAATCGATTTGAACGATTCTCTTAAACTCAACAAGTATTCTGTTCTCCATTGTTTGATAAACTGGTTTAAAACGCGTTGATGGTACTTTGCTCGCCTGGTGAGGGACTGATTTGTGCAAATAATCTCGTAATGCTTGTCATTTGGAGTGCGTACGATATTCCCTGTACGTCATCATACATAAACGTCAACGGTCTATTATTAAGGGTGCTTTCAATCTCGACTAGTAGGGTGCGTACGTAGTTCTCCAAAAGATAACGAAGCGCGTCCGATAGCTTTCTTTAGACAACGTTTAACACTTCGCACCATCCTCTCCCAGAATCCACCGAACTCCAATAAACTCCAATGTTATTCTTCTATTGACAAAATAACGATTTACTTCTTTCGATTCTCCAATCATCCTCACTTCTTTTGATGCCGACTTAAATGTTTTTGCATTATCCGTCAAGACCTTCGTTGGCAGTCCTCTACGACTTGAAAACATCTAAACGCTTGAAGAAAGGTAGCTGCTGACATGTTTTCTACTAGTTCTAAATGCAAAGCCCCCGTAGATGCACAGGTAAAGAGCGCTATGTATACTTTGTCTTGGTCGTTGCTGTTAATTGCTCCAGACGATTTTTTACGTAAACTGGACCAGCGAAATCTATACCGGTATTAGAGAAGGGTTGTTCTTCGCTTACTCGACACGCTGGGAGCTGCGGAGCTTTCGGCGTTGGGAAAGGTTTCGCTTCGATCTTTCTGCACACGACACGTCTTCTTACTATTCGCTTCACTGCTTCTCTACCTCGTTGGATCCAATATTTCTGACGAATCGAGTTGAGAGTGTCTCGAATGCCATTGTGGTGTACAACCTCTTGAGGGTAGATCGGCTATATTGATCTCTCCCGGACAAAATCTCCATTTCTCTCGGTCGAAAAGTTCCCTGATTTCCTTCACTCTGTTTTGAACATAAGGCTTCCATGTTTTGTCATTACGAATCCAACACAAGACGGTGTAAGAATCGCTCCACAAGAACACTTCAGGAGGCGTTTTCAGAGAGCTCATCGCTTCTTTGACAGATTTGACAAGTCTAACTAAAATAGTTGCTCCAAGCAACTCTAAACGAGGTATAGACTGACGCTTTATTGGAGCTACTCGTGTCTTGGACGCCACTAGATTAATTTCAATATCGCCATTTGCGTGTTCCTTCCGAAGATAAACAACTGCTGCAAATGCTTTGTTGGATGCATCAAAGAATCCATGTAACTCATGCTTCACAGGGGGCTCTTCCTTTCTTGTGAAATAACATCTCGGAACTTTGATGTCTTTCAAGCTGTTTAAGTTATGTACCAATCTTTTCCATTTTCCCAGTAGCTCTCCCTTTAACTCATTGTCCCAATTCACCTTTGCTAAGCATAATTCTTGAAAGAAGACTTTCATTTTAATTGTGAATGGGGTTAACAGTCCGATGGGATCGAAAATTTTGGCAGAGAGCCGAAGGACTGATCGCTTTGTAGCAGGTAGGGTAGTGGCATCTTTCGACCATTTAACGTAGTCATGGAAAAGTGTGTCCTCGTCAACATTCCAGGGTATTCCCAGAACCTTTACTGGGTCGTTTCTTGTTTTGCATTCCTGATCACTCCCGGGGATATTATTTGCTTTATCGTTGCTTTTGTGTTGGTTTTCAGCTCTATCTGTTGCTATCTTTTCTTGCAAGTGTTTAGAATTCGTATGTCATTTTCGTAAGGTAAAACCCTCCGAATTCATTAACGTCTGGGATTTCTCGTAGACTTCACCTGCTTCATTATCGTCGAAAGCACCACCAGCGAAATCATCTACATAAAATGATTTCCGCAACAAGGACACCATTTTGGGTTCCTTTTCTTCATTTACAGCGAGATGGTGCTGCAGTACGGACGTTAGAATGGCAGGACTTGAGACTAGGCCAAACACTAATGGACAGAATTGGTACTTTCGAATTTCGGGTCTTTCTTTGCTTGGATCATCAAACCATAGGAATCTAACCATTTAGATGTGCAACAACTGGTGCAATTTTACTTGGTGGAATGCCTTTTCAATGTCTGCGACCATGCCGATTGGGTATCCTCTGAAATTGATGATCACATCGAATAGGTACGGAACCAGGTTGGGGCCTTTTTCTAGACAGTCGTTGATGGAAACACTGCTGTTATCGGGTTTTGCTGAACCATCAAATACCACACGCAACTTGGTAGTTTCTTTATCTTGCCGAACAACACTGTGATGTGGTAAATAGTAAGCTTCTTCATCAGTATCATACTCTTCAGGCACTGGTTCAATAATGCCAGAAGTTATTTGTTGTTGAATAATCTTATCATACTCTTGGAGCAGATCTTTATCTTTCTTTTCCTTAAGACGCTTGTGGAGTTGTCTTAGGCGATTCGCACACGACATGTATATCCATTTGATGCAGGATGAGATTCGGATTTCCATGGCAGGTTTACTTCGTAGCGTTTCTCATCGTTGTGGTATATTAACTCGTTGAGGAAATTATCATTCCCCATCTTCTCGTCCTGGATCCCAAGAGATTCAGTATCCCAAAATCTACGCAGTTCGTTTGTTAAGTCTTGATTCTTGTCTTCAAAAGCAAAACTATTCTTCATTGGATCCGAATTTTCTCGCAAAATGATGAGATTGGTAGATGATGAATTATATTTGTCTGCATTCTGTGTTGGACCAGAGATTACCCAACCAAAGATAGTGTTGATAGCTACTGGACATCTTTGGCCTCGACGAATTTCATCCGTGACAACATCGAAATAATGATCAGACCCAATCAAAATGTCAATGTTTGTTGGAACATCCTTAGTAAGACTGGAATCTGCAAGTGGCAAGCCATGTATATGTGGATGGGCTTCCACATCTAACTTCATCGATAGGGGCGAGCATATCTTTGAAAAGGTAAGAGCAGAGATTTCAAAGTTTTCGGGTCGTGCTTCAAGCTTTATCTTTACTTCTTGGCAGCGTTGCTTGGTTACTCGATCGTCTCCAAATGTATTAAGGTTTAGGGTCTCAGTTCGCAAACTGTCCAAGCCAAGTTTCTCCTTTAATTGTTCGGTAACATACGAGCGCTGGCTACCGCTATCGAGTAATATTCTAACAGGAACAAGTTCACTTTAGTCATGACTAAAGGCGAACGTCGTTGCAGTCTGTAGGAGTACCTTCTTCCCATGAGTTGTTGAATGCTGGTTTACTGTTGATGTCGCCACTGTTGGTCCGACTGGGTCTGCCTTGACAGGGCTCTTGGGAATCTCTTGTTTCTTCGAAAGTTCCTTTGGATGATCTTGACCTTTGCATATTGATTGATGGTGAAGCCCTTGACACTTTTTACATCTTTTGTCACATTGTTTCATTATGTGTCCCTTACGCAAACAGACAAAACAGCGACCATCTCGTTTAAGAATTTCTTTTCTTTTGTTGACATCACAAACATCTTCACACAAAGCTGAGTAATGAGGTTTTTGGCAAAATGTACATCGAATGGAAAATTGATTTGTCACACCAGATCCCGAGGCAAGTAGAGCTGAAGCCGATCCCAGACCTCGAGGGACTGGGGCATTAGGTTTTTTGTTCTGATTGTCAGAGTGTGTTTTGATATTCTCACACACTTCTCGTGCTTCCACTTCCTTCTGAATGACATCTAAGAGCTCTCGAATATCCCACACATCTTTCGTAGTATTTCGGGCGATTTGGATTCTAACATCAGATGGCAACTTTGACATAATTACTGGGATAAGCAAACTTCCATACTGTTCTGCCTTGACTCCAATAGCTTCTAGCCCCGTAACATTTACACTGACTTTATCGTACAAATTGGGCCATAGATACTTGATATGATTCACTAACAGATTCGGTCGAAATTTCCGCCAACGACGGCTGACTGTTCAAAGGCTCACTAATCGTCGTGTTTTGATGTGCCACACTTCTCGATTGTACTTGGTGTTCTTTTGCACATAATTTCTCGATTTTATTCTTGATTTCGTAAACTCTCGACGTTATTTCCTCAGATTCTTCGATATCTTTTTCAATGTCTTTTATGTCGCATTCTTCTAGAATTTCGTCGTCAAGCTTTTTTACTAAAGCTAATTTTTCGTTGAGGAGCTTGTCCAGCGTTGTTAAACGATCTAGTTTAGATTGATCTATGTCTCCATTCATATGCTTTATCGATTCGTTCATATACTTCGTAAGGACCCTTCGATTCGCAGAGCGAATTGCACGTTTTCGCCCAATGGTCTCGCTCATATTTTGTCGTCAAAATATAAATTAAACGTTGTTTCTTCGGTTAAAATGCCTTACGTTGGGCGCCATATATATACTGCACGTCGCAGTTAAATGTAATATAAACTTTATTTCTAAACTATAAACTATAAAATATAAGTTGAAAGTCGTTATAAACGTGTTTTTCGATTCGATTTATGAAACCAACAAAAAGCGTCTCCTCTGCGCATGTCTGACATATTGTTCGCTATGACAAAAATAGCGGCAACAATTTAACCGTTCACAACACGAATAGTTAATAGTTGTCTTACCGTCATTAGCGCTGCTGCCGTAAATGGCGTGTTCGAATATTTTCTCCCTCCTCGTTGTTCCTTGAATTCTTTCGCATCTTTCCCGGTTTTCCAATTCCTCGCAAAAATTCTCAAGTGTACTGCGACTAATTTAAATTTAATTATACATAACAACAATATCCTCAGTAAGTCGCTTAACAGATCCAAATTGCATCTGAATAAGTTAGGATCTTCTACTTTAGCTAAAAACTTTATTAGTTATTTACATAATTTTTAGCCTAGGTAAAGTTCCAACTCTTTACAGCAAAATTTCCGACACTGAACCAAAAGAGCCAAGTTGCTCCATTGAGAAGATTATTCCACAAACAAAGTGTGAAAATAGCATTACATTTTTACAATCTTTGAAAGGATTTAGAGTTGGGCATTTAAACATCGCTTCGTTAGTCAAGCATGTTGATGAATTAAAAATATATTTGGAAAAAGAACCACTGGATGTTTTGAGCATTAACGAAACTCGTTTGGATGAAACAATTAGTACAGATACTGTTAGTATACCCGGTTACGACATGGTTGCCAAAAATCGTAATCGGCAAGGAGGCGGTGTTGCAATTTACCATCGCAGTATTTTGAACATAATTGATAGAGATGATTTAGTCCCAGAGGACGTCGAGGCTGTTTGCCTCGAAATTATTAAGCCTAATTCTAAACCTCTCTTAGTTGCATCTGCATATAGGCCACCGAATTCGCAAATTGAATTCCTTGATAAAATTGAAGTATTATTTCAAAACCTTGACAACGAACATAAAGAACTAATTATCGTGGGCGATTTAAATTGTGGTTTTTTATCCAACAATTTAAGCAATCATGACACTAAACGTTTTAATGATATAGTTAATATATTCCAGCTGACACAGTTGATTGACCAGCCTACACGAATTACCGAAAAAACAGCTTCTCTTTTGGATGTCGCTCTTGTAAACAATCCTGAAAAGATTTCGCACTCAGGAGTATTGCATGTTGGAATAAGTGACCATAGCTTGATCTACGTTTGTAGAAAAAATTCGTTTGTAAAAAATGATCCCAAATTTGTTGAGTCAAGAAATTTTAAAAACTACATACAGCGAGACTTTAACCAAGACTTATACCATGCTTTATCTAATTTAAATTGGGAGATAAATGATCCAAATATGCTTTGGGAGAACTTTCAAACAACATTCAATTATGTTGCTGACATTCATGCTCCACTTCAAAGCCGTAAAGTTAGAAACAGAATGGCACCGTGGCTGACTGATGCAATTAAGAAAAGTATGAATCGCCGAGATTATCTCAAGAAAAAAGCTATTAACACAAACTCAACTGCATGCCACAATGCTTACAAAAGTCTTCGCAATGAGATTAACAAAAAAATTATGTATGCAAAGCGAGATTATTACACAAACTGTGTTGACAGAAACAGAAATAATACAAAGCAAATGTGGAAACATATTAATCAGTTAGTTAATAAAAATTCTAGATCAACAAATATATCATTACTACAAATAGACGAACAGGTTATTACTGAAAATGAAACTATAGCTGATTTGTTCAATGAATATTTTACTGATATAGGACCAAATCTGTCGAACCAGATCACGGAAACTAACACAGATTTTAAACGTTATATGAAATTTAATACTCAACATAAGTTCAATTTCGAAAACATTAATATCAATGAAGTGTTAAATGCACTGGAGAAATTAAAGACGTCTAAGTCAACTGGACATGATAATATCCCAGCCAAACTTTTGAAAGAAAGAACTTTTGCCTTTTTTAGTATTTATTTTTAATACTTCACTCAAACATGGAATTTTCCCTGATGATCTTAAGACTGCAAGAATTTCTCCAGTTCATAAATCTGGTGACAAAAAAAATCGAGGCAATTATAGACCGATTTCCATTCTTTCGATTATTGCTAAGTTATTTGAGAAACTTGTCTGTACACGGCTCAATTCATTTTTAACTGAAAATAATATTCTGAGTTCGTGTCAGTCTGGTTTCCGTAAAAATTATTCCACCGCATCAGCCCTTTTAGCAAATACGGATTCATGGTTACTTAACATGGATGCTGGGATGATAAACGGAGTACCTTTTCTGGACTTATGTAAAGCATTTGATACAGTTGATCACGGAATTCTCCTAAGTAAATTATCTATCTATGGAATCCAAAATAAGGCCATAGATTGGTTTAAATCTTATTTGCATAACAGAACGCAATACTGCTGGGTGAACAGTGCAACATCATCCACCAGGAAAATACGTTGTGGGGTTCCCCAGGGATATAACCTTGGTCCCCTTTTGTTTTTATTATACGTCAAAGACCTGCCAAATTGCTTGGATAAATCCTCTCCGGCAATGTATGCAGATGATACAAATCTTACAGTATGTTCAGATAGCATTAATAATTTGGAGGAAGCACTAAATTCTGAAATGAAAAATATTCACCAGTGGCTTCTTCCAAACAAGCTAACTTTAAACATTGAAAAAACAGAATACATGATCATTGGAACCCGTCAAAGACTAGCTAAAATTCAAAAAAATACTAGCGTATCATGCGGGGGAAACTATTGAAACAGGTTTATTCCAAAAAGACTTTAGGTGTACTGATTGATGACAATCTATGTTGGAATGAGCAAATCGACAACATCAGTAAAAAGGTATTGAAGGGCATCGGTATGCTGCGCCGTGCAAGCCATTTGTCTCTCTTGAAACTCTTAAATATATTTATCAGGCTTTAGTGCAACCGAGTTTTGATTACTGCTCCATGGTTTGGGGAAACTGTGGCGAAGGTTCAAAAGAAAAGCTACAGAGACTACAAAACCGTGCAGCTAGAGTAATCACAGGTGATACCTATGAAATTCGCTCCACGGATATTTTAAAGAAATTAAATTCGAGAACACTCGAAGAGAGAAGAAAGGAGCAAAAATTAGCATATGCCACCAAAGCCCTTTCAAACCAATGTCCTGAAAACGTTTCAACTATGTTTAAAATCTCAAATTCTGATAAATATAATTTAAGAAGTAATAACAAGATGCTGATGTTGTCGAAGCCTAAAACAAATTCAATGAAAAGGACATTCGGATATGCTGCTGCTAAAGACTGGAACTATAATAGTAAAACTTTTAAATCTACTTAATTCATTTGTAATATATATACCGGGTGTCTCAAAAAAAAGTACTCCGGTTTGATTTATACTAACTTCTAAACAAGTAAAGCTATCAAACAGAAATAACTTGCATTAAATAGAGGAAGGACTAACTTAGATTTTGATATATTACAGTCGTATTTTACTTAAAAATTCACGGAGGTATTAATGTTCAAAATCAGAAGCATATTTTGGGATGTGTCTAAAATTAGCGAATATCGAATAGCGAAATTAGCGAATAATTAGCGGTATCAAATATTAACTTCAGCGTTTGTTTGCTTGATGACATATCAGGCTAACTTGTATTTCAGCGAATTTTCGTTAGGGTTTGTAAGGGATATGGCGTAGATTTAGACTTCTTACACGTAAGCTATGTCTTATCTCATTGTTTCCTGAAATATGAACGTACGAAATTATGCAAGTATTTAATAGGTCTTTACAAACTTTACAAATTTATAAGGTATACATGAAAGACCATGCATGGCAGGCGCTTAAATTTTTCTTAGCCTATTTTTTTATGTTTTTCATGGGTTCAAAACAGAGTTGATTATTTCTCGGTTAGAGAGGATGAATATTATTTTGCAATGAAGGAAATAATATTGCTTTTTGCAAATACACATCACAGCATCAACGCTATTATTTTGTTACGTTTTGTTCCAAAAATGTTGAATGTCTCCAGGGAGTTGCATGCTTAATCGTTATGTCTTATGGAGTTGTATGGTTTGATTGTGTTTCATTCAGTCATTCTTAGTTTATTCTGAACTTAAAAAGATTAAGAAAAGGCAAATTAGTTTGAGTGTTCTTAACAAGATTTCAGAACATTGCAGAAGTTAGAAGAGCTTCACAATTCTATTGTGACAGCATGCCCTAATTCAGAACTACGAACGATCCATGACGATCTTTCGCGATGCAGTGGTCTCATGAAATAAGGAAACGTATATATTCGTGCTAGGAACACACACAGATTTCGGACGAATAAATCTTGCTTGTATTTTGTAGATAATAATACAGACTTTGTTTCATAATAAACAATTTGTCAAGTGTCATTTATTTACTGGTAATCGTGCATGTTTCAGTCGTGCAAATCTTGATTAATATTTGATACGCCGTTTTTTGCATATTTCAGACACATCCAGAAATATGCTCCCGATTTTAAACATTAATATCTCCGTCAATTTTTAAGGGGAATACAACTGTAATATATCAAAGTCTAAGTTAGTCCTTCCTCTATTTGATGCAAGTTATTTCTCTTTAAAAGGTATATTGTTTAGAAGTTATTACGAATGAAACCGGAGTACTTTTTTTTGGGACACCCGGTATTTAACGTATAGCTTCGACCCAAACATTTCTTAGTATCTTTTAATATTTTTATAATAGTTTATATAATAGTATTTTGAGTTTTAATTTGTATTTAATAACACGGCCTAATGAAAAACAACCTTTATAATTTTTTTAAATACTGATAGGTAATATGGTTGATTAGTTACCGTGTATAAAGATGTTGTAATAATAATAATAATAATAATTAAAATTCCATTTTTCGCCTGTCATTTTGCGACCGAGTAAAATGCGTATTTCGTCGGGTATAATAACAACGCTCCGTATTCCGTGTCTGGCACGTCTAACGATTTTAGCCCTCTCACGTGTGCTTCGATTTTATCGTAAAGACGCCGTAAACCTTTCGTATCGGTAGATAAACGTGGTTGTAGGAGTTTTAATAAACTATCCATATGGCTAGTAATGACCACTTGTTTGTCTCCGAAGTTACTCTCTGTCAACGATAAACCCTCGATCGTGGCTGCTGCGGACTTTTCCAGTAAATTTTTTAAGTAATTGAATTTATCCACGTCGGCTAAACCTCCGGATTGTCAAGTATTGCGCACTTAAAACTGTCCCAAAATGCTTGCCATTCGCATGGCTGTCCATCAAATTGTTTTGGAGTAAGTTTTGGCAACTTCGCATGTTTTATTGTCGGTTGATAATGTCCTGGTGTAGATAGTTGCTGTGACTCGCTCATACTCATAGACATAGTTTCATTAATCGGTTTGGCCTCGAGCACACTGTCGATATTTACAATCATTTCGTGTACACTCTCGCGATATTTTCCTGCTTCTTCGATCTCGGTAGATATTTCCTCGTCAGCTTCGATAAGCTCTAGAATCTCTTCGTCAAGGGTCTTTAAAGTGTCCAATCGTTCTTTTAGAGTGATCCTGATTTGCTTTAGTTTCTTCTCTTGATTTCCATCGCAGTTCTGAACAATATAATCGGAATTTCCCAGAATCTTCGTAAGATAAGCTCTGTGACCCTGCCGTATCTTTATTTTCTTCTAGATATTACTCATTTTATCCTCAATTTAATCCGGCTCTGAAGGACTATGTAATATATTTTAGACTACTCAATTAGTTGTATTTTACTCCATATTAAGATTTTCTCATAACATCAATTCGAATCTAGACTCTTGTTCATTAGTTCAATTCTTCAACAAAATCCCACAAACAAAGCCCTATTGTTTTATAGTCCACGTCCCTTATGACGCGTACGTATTGTCCTATTTATAAATGTCTATTAATAATAAACAATATCTCACAGGTAGTGTGTAACTTACAATCCGGCATTCTATATCACCTGGTCACCATAAATTTGTGACAATTTATCAAATTAAGTGTCCTGCATTTGAAGGCTTGTTGCAGGATCTTCAAAGTTATAATATTATTGAAACAATTAATTTCATGGTCCTCAAGTAATTTCATCAATAAAAATATCATAGAGTATCCCACAAATATCAAGATCATGCACAGTTAGCATGGTCTACACAGATAGATAGATAGTTTATTTGAACTTCCATGGCAGCATACACTGAATTGCAGAAGTTTTACAATTTTAAAAGCAAGTTAAAACACACTAAATTACTATATTACAAATTAGTAGACAATACAATGAGTCAATTCATTGAATTATAATGGCGAGCACTGCCATTAATGAAGGAGTCACGAAATCTGTTTGTTTTACAACGAGGAATAGTAAAAGTTCTGTTCTTGCGCAGTGTTACAGATGATTGACTTACATTAAATGGTAGAAGAGCATGCAACTTGTCTTCACTATTCATAAGAAGTTTAAAAAAGTTCCGACATAGTTCTGATCTGCGTTGATGAAGATTGGAAAGTCCAGAGTTAGTTAAGGCATCTTTAAACGAGACGTCATATCCGTATATTATACACATGGCCCGTTTTTGAATTCTTTCAAGTAACAGACTAAGATACTCCGGCAAGGCATAATGGTAAACCTGACACGCATAAGTTAGTACTGATTGGATACATGTTACATAAAATTCGACCAGCTCCTGGTTGGGGACTTTAGCGCGTTTCAACTGTACTAAAAAATAGAGCTTCTTAGCTGCTTTCTTAACAGTGGCATCTATGTGGGAGTTCCATTTAAGATTATTTTGAAAATGTACCCCTAGTATCTTAATAGAAGTGATAGGTTCAACTATTGGTCCGTCAATATGAATTAGTTCTCGATTTGTTGGCAATTGTTGGTAAACGGGAAAATGAAATCCTCAATTCTTTACATTTCTTTGGATGAAGTTCAAGCGTGTTTAAGTTGGACCATCTAGTTATTTCATCAACAATGGCTTGCGCTTGGCTGGCAAAATTTTTCCTGATAACTTCGTAGGTAGTAGTATCATCCACATATTTGTATAATCCGTCGGCAGATGGCACATGAAGATCGTCAATCATGACAATGAAAAGCCACGGTCCAAGCTTAGTTCTTTGTGGAAACGTGTAACCACTCGGAAAGACAATCTTCTGTTAGCTTTACTCGTTGGTTTCTATTGCTCAAAAAGTCGCCAATCCAATTAATTATATAAGGATTTATATTATAATTAGACAATTTGGCCATTAGCAGTTTATGATCAATAAGATCGAAAGCTTTCTTATAATCCATTACGAACACTCTTACGTCGTTACCAGTTCCATCTGTCGCTTTCGCCCAATTGTGAAACATGCATGCTAACCAGGGCATGTGTTGTTGATGAACCAGGGATACAACCAAACTGATCAGATCCCAGTTTTTCTAAAATTGCTGGTTTAACGTGTTCATGTACTATAAAATGTTCCGCCAACTTGGAAAGTGTAGGTGTGAGGGATATCTCGGCCTTAAGTCTGCTGCAATATCTTCAATCTTTGACTTCTTAGGTAATGGTACTACATTCGCAAGTTTTCAGATGGTGGGGAGGGATCCTTCCGCAATAGATGAATTAATAATCATACTTACAGGCAAAGCTAGCTCGTATGAGTATTCACGTAATATCCAATTAGGTATGTTGTCCGCGGGCCTCCTGCTTTTGATATGTTTGCGGATCTAAGAAGTACGGCTGTTTCTTCCGGTGAAATATTTGGCACTTGCGAGTACGCTGTGTGAACTTTATACGATTGATCAAGTGGATCAAATTGCTGTTGAGGTTCAAGAAAGGCCTCATTGATGTCATTGGCAAGGTTTACAGTCAATTTCAGCTGACTTTTCATCGTAAGATTCCGAACTTCGTTCCAAACTTCGCAAATTCGTTGCCAAGTTCAAAAGTTCATAATGAAATTCACAAACAGGTTTGTAAACAAAGCCTCTGATTGGCTATTAAATCAAACCAGCCAATCAAATGCCCAGTTTACAAACCTGTTTGTGAATTTCATTATGAACTTTTGAACTTGGCAACGAATTTGCGAAGTTTGGAACGAAGTTCGGAATCTTACGATGAAAAGTCAGCTGAAATTGACTGTAACATGTCACTGTAGGTCGGGGATGGATTCGAATTCTTCGTGCAATGGTAAAAATATTTTCATTCGGTGAAAGATGGAATGTTCCATTCAACTCGGCTGTCGCCTCGTTGAATGGAACATTCCATCTTTCACCGAATGAAAATATTCTTACCATTGCATTCATAAACATTCATTATTTGTATATTATCTGAAGACTCATGATTTGGCTAAGTTTGGTGATGAATTACGAAGTTTTGGACAAATTTACTACATCACATTTCGCTGGTCGTTTAAACACGTAGCAGCTCAGTCAAACAAAATGCTCAATGCCCCACTGGTTGGGGTTAATAAACATGGATTGGTCACATTGGAATTGCCTCGAAAACTTTTTTGGACTGATCTTACTATCCATATGGACGTGCAAAGTAATCCTGGGCTCCTTTCAATTTGGAAAGTGTTCAAAGTTTAATTGCGTGATATCTAGTTTACGAAATCCGGATACTGCTTGCGACCACAGATCTAAATATTCAAGACGGGAATTGTTTGGTTTGAAAGCTAAGTATCATGTACCAGAACACTTATACCATCTCCTAAAGTGTGAAGGAATTCTCAGGACTCGTCAAAATCGAGCCGGTGTATCAACAAGAACCAAATTAAGAACTATTCCTGTCCTTACTAGAACAGGTATATACAAATATACTAAAACCATGAACAGAGCTGCTAATTTGCATAACACACTCCCTATCAGGGCTTTTCAGTGACTGGTTACATTATGAATAGCTAGATAGATAGAACCGGACTGAAGTGAATATATTTGCTATTTTACGCAGATGAAAGAAACATGTCTTGCAGATATTAGTCACATGTTGCTCTAGAGACATATGTCGATCTAATGTTACGCCAATGTTACTAGCTGTGTCAGATTTTAAAATTGGATACATCTATATAATCTATAGGCGGGCATGGGCGATGGCGTGTATTTATTACTAACAACTTTGTCGTGTCTCTATTTAGCTTCAGTTTATTACTAACCATCCACGAGTAGATCTCTCGTTCTAACGCATGTTTCTATTCGCACAAGTGCACCAGGTTGTTCATCTGTAGTTGGCTCAAAAGCAAGATATAGTTGGGAATCATCAGCATAGAAATGAAAGTCAAGTTCATGACGTCTAATAATATCTCCAATGGGCGAGGTGTATAACAGGTACAAAATAGGGCCTAGAACTGATCCTTGCGGAACTCCCCAATTTAGATCTTCAGCAGCAGATTTAACGCCATCGATCATCACAATTTGTGTCTTATTTTGAAGGTAGGACTGAAACCATTCTAGCACCTTGTCTTTAATTCCAAACCGTTTTGACATTCGTTCCAGTAGGATTTCATGGTCAACCGTGTCGCTGTGGACATGTCCAACAACATCAAAACTACACATTTCTGATTGTCAATAGGCAATTCCAGCTTTTCTTTATGCCTGCAGGGGATGATGGGAAGTATGGTATCATATTGCTGATTATGCTGAAAAATTTCAATAAAAACTACCGAAACAACCGAAAAATTTCAATATTTACAAGTATAAACTATCACTACTAAAACTGTCTGTACCAGTGTGGGTAGTACCAATGTGAAAATGCTGTGCTGAGTGGTTATATTACTACCTTAAAAAGTAAACAGAAACTCGACGTTTCGAGCGAAGGCCCTTCGTCAAGAGTTAAACTTTGACGAAGGGCCTTCGCTCGAAACGTCCAGTTTCTGCTTATTTTTTAAGGTAGTAATATAACCACTCAGCACATCATTTTTTATAAACTATCACTCCGTGTTTACACGGCAATCATTTTTATTTTCTCAGCATAATCAACAATGTGATACCTTACTTCCCATCGTCCCCTGCACGCATAAACTAAAAGCTGAAATTGCCTATAGCGATAAGAATGTCATTCTGGACCTTAAGCAGGGCCGTTTCAGTACTGTGGAAGCGTTTATATGCTGATTGGAGAGGTTCCTCTAAGCTGTTATTCACTAAATGTTCCATGAGTTGAGTAGCAACAGCTCGATTATCTTAGAAACTTAAGATTTGATATTGCTCTGAAGTTTGAGTATTCTTCAAATTCCAAATTTGCTTTTCTTCAGCTTAGGTTTCAACATAGCCTCTTTGAGTTGTACAGGCATGAATCCAGTTTCGAATCAGTTGTGCAGGCATGCATCCAGTTTCGGTCAAATAATAATGACCGTTCGTTAATGCAGTTCTCAGTCCTTGCATTTCTGCATTTTTAATGTTAAATTTTACCAGTCTTTTAATTAAAAATGCGTGAAGCAAAATTCAGGTCAAACGTTTAATTTCAAGCTTTATGATCTGATAGTAAACAACTCCCCTCACTAGGAACTTCCGATATTCGACGTGCCAGTTAGCTGCAAGAAGTTACATTTTAAGCTTGATTTACACGAGCAACGAAATTGCTGCAACTTGCAACAAAATCTGAATTCAACGCATGTTAATTAAGTAGAAATGTCGACACATGTTGCCTTGTGATTCTCTCTCCTCCGCAGAGGCTTACATGAAGTTTCTAGTGAGGGAAAAGTGAGCGCGCAAGGAGTGATGGGAAGAGATAAATAAAGGAAGCCTCTGCGAGTTAATGCAATCTCAATATGGCGTCGTATATAATCGTTTGTAGCGAAGTTCGATCAACCATCGAGGGTGTTAAAATATGTTTTCGACTTTGATTTTCAGGCGCACTTGAGTATCTTGGGGTGAATTAAATATCAATATCTTCTTCCGTCCATTTGCATCGAAAAATATTGAGAAATTGCAAACGAATATCAATGGATACGAGCTATCTAATTATAAATATCCTCTTAATTGCAACATTTCTTTATAGAAATGACTCTATTGAACTTCGATACTCAGATTATGAAGTTTCATTTCAATTTCTTTCACATTTCCGTCGATTTCAAGTTTAAATCAAAGGCCTTCGAGGCCGACTCACGGATGAGATCAAATTAATTAAGGGGGGATATGATTTACAGCAGTTTTTACAAATGGGAACCGTGCAAGGGCAAGGACATTATTTGGTAAAACACAACATAATATAAAATGTTCCCGAACTGGGGCGAAGATCTTAGAGGTTTAAACAGTTTAATTTTAACGACATCCTCGATTTTAACAATAAGAACCGGTCATCATTTATGGAAGGGGGGGGGATGGAAAAAATAAGGGGGGGCATATGCAGAAATAAATGACTAGAAGGGGGGGCTATTAATTTTTTTCAAGAAAATGACAGGGGGGATTGCAATTAAACTTGAAGGAATTTGCTTAATAACCTGGTATCCATTTGGTTGTAAATGTTGCAACTAAATC